TGTTGTCCCCTGGAGGCAGACACATTTAAGTGTGAAGACTGCAGTTCCACTTAAGCAAGAGCCCCAGGACGAGAGCTCAACAGCAAAAATGGACAAAAATGTTTCACTGATGCCCAACACTACAAGGCCTATGGAGGCGAAAGCGGTTGAAGAGCTCAGCCCTCCGGTCTCAACTCCATTCAGCATCTGCCAGCTGATGACACCCCTCATTCCCTCCAGACAACCAACAGAAACATCAGAAATCCTCTCCGCCATCCTTTCACCTTCTGTACTGGACCTTCCCCACGGACCTCACTCGGAGGCCAAACTGACACCCGAACCTCCCATCAAGAGGGATGGCTACAAATCACTGGCGTCGAGCATCCTCTTTAACCTCAAAGACAACAGGAAGCGGGTCAAAAGTCGCTATAGCCCACCTAAATTCAAAACTTTAGAAGCACCTGGAAACGACACCCAATCTCCATTGTTGGAGAATCTTAAGCAACAAAATAATTCAGAGGGCGACACATGTGATTTCAGCACTCCTGCTATTTCAAAAGAAGGTCAGACGGTACGCAGTCCCGTTGTAGAGTCTGTCAACCCCCCAACTGTCGGCCTGAGCGAGCGTGCAGCCGATGGGTCGCAGTCAGATGATTATTTGTTATCTAATCTGCTACACAACAAAAGGGAGGCTCTCAGTAATGGAAATCTCGGTGATGAGAATGCAAACTCCCAAATTATGGACGCAAAAAGGAACAAAAGCCACACGGCTAAAAAGCAAAGTTATCCGTCACTTAATCTGTACAAGAAAGCCAGCCCTCCCGTCTTAACGCATTACTCCAATGAGCTTTCGCTTCTGAATCCAAGCAAAGCGCCACCGGGGCTTTCACCTAACATCAATTGTGGTCATTCACCAATATTTACAGCCTCGGAACATAATCAGGAAACCCTTCCGTTAAGCGAATCAATCAGGAAAGAGCCACCAAATGTACGAGACAAAACAAATACGCCCGTGAAATCCTTAAAAGAAAACTATTTTGGAGAAGAGAGCGTGAGTTCTAAAGTGAAGGATAGCAGGGGCCAAGCTATGAGCACATTGGATGTCATCAGAGCTGCAAAGGAGGCGATTAATGCAACAAAAACTAGAGTGCTCCATGCGCCTCAGTCCGAGAGCATCAATCAAGCCATGTCAGACAGAGAAGAATGTAAAGACAAAGATGAGATGTTTGTATGTTCCAATGTTATAATTGAAAAGAGAAACATAGCCGAAAATGATCAAGTCAGAAGTGAGTCCGAAAATGTCGTAAAGAAAGAGCCCCCACCGGTTCCAAAGAAAAACCTTCCCAAGCCCGATATTCAACAGTCTCTGTCCAAAAAGAAAACACACCTCACGAATCAACTTTCTAACTGTGACTTAGGGGAAACCACACCAGATAGTCAAGACAGGCTAAAGCACAAATTCTCAGACAGACTGAACAATTACATCAAATGTCAGCGGCATACTGTAACAGATGAGGAACACAGAGATAATGAAGGTGATACGAAGGTGAACTTGAGAATCGAAAAGGATGCCACGACTGACAGTGAACACATCATTCATGACTTGCACGCTCTGAAAGAACTGGAGAGGGCCCGCCTAAGCGATCGGGAGCACCAAGCGGGAGGTCCCAACCTAGATGAAGTGGCCAGAGCGAAAAATGATTTGATCTCCCGGGAGTTAAAGAACATCAAGAAGGGAATGTTGTCCATGAGAGGGAACACTTTGGCAAAGAGGGAACTATTTACCATGAAAGAGAAGCAGCTGAGTAAGCAGGAGGTTCCCACTAAGAAGGGTGGCAGCGTCATGATCAACAAAGCACTGGTGAATGATAATTATGACAAGGCCAAATTAGCACTGGAGGAGGTTATCTTGAGTAGAGAGATGACAAGGAATAAAGCCATGAATCAGGATGCAAATACGGCATTTGCCGCATATGCCACGGATGGAAGTTACGGATCAAGGGTACAGGCAAGTAAAAATGTGATGAAAGACTCAATTGTAGAAGCCAACAAAGACAAAAATTACACCACAGATAAAGAGAAAGACTTAAGAGAAAGATTGGGGGATTTGAGAGACCATAAGCACATGAGGCAGATCCTCTCCCAGACTGAACCCAGACAGGCTGAGACTCAGAGATCAGACGAGAGAGTGGCAGCCCTGCCAGGTATGAGCAATGTTGACAGCGGCTTAAATTCACCTTCACGATTGGACTTCAAGTATGCCAATGAGAGACGAATTGACAGTTCCGCTCATTGGTCTGAGAGGGATCTAAATTTAAAACAATTCTCCGAAAATGTCGCCGGGAGAAGGATTTGTGACAACCAAGCGTTAGAAACACCCTCTGTTCCTCCTCGGAGTAAAAAAGCCGGAAACCGAAGAAATGAGAGCAGTGATAAAGAAGATCTCTCTAACAGAGATGTGGAAGTGAACAGAATACAAAATATAACAAGCACAAAAGTTGCTTTGCCAGCCAACTCCAATGAAGAAAAAAGCAATGTAACAATAAACGACGCAGTTACCCATGACCTATATTTGCCTTCCAAGCACAGCCACGGTGAAAAACGCTACTCTTTGTTATCAGACATTGAAGCAAATACAGAGACAGTTGAGAATGCGCCCGAAGAAGCCACAAGCAGAAATATTGACAGGTCTTTACAACCTGACAGTGCAGCAATTCACGTCCTGGCAGAAGATCTTGGCAAAATGCCGAAAGGCAAGAGCGATATGGATGCAGAGGCTCTCACGAGGACTATAATATCCCCTGAACTTCTTGTAAACGGCGTCGGCATTGACGACCACACCAGCATGTCCTCCAAATCTTCTTACTTCTCTGTGGAGAGTCCACCACAAAGGAATGCTGAGTCAATCCTTTTTCACTCTCTGGAGAACCTAGATAAGGCTGGCCTGGACAACAGAGGAGATCATCTTCTTGGACCCATTAAAAAAGATTCAGACAAGCCAGGAATTGAATATTATTCATTCAATGATCTGGAGGGTGAATCGACGATTGCCAGGGAATCAGTCAAGTCTGAAGAAGAGAACGTGAACCAAAAGCAAAGCAAACAACATACCACCAAATGTCCTCGCCCATCCCAAGATGAAGATATCCAAAATCCGATGTCACCTTCGAACACCTTAACTCCAATGTTGGATATCCCTGCTTTATTTAAAATAAAAGACAACACTTTCAGTAATAAGATGAAGAAGACTACACAACCCTGGACACCGCAGGGCCTCATGAATAACTCGGAGAAGCTTGTGGAGGACTTGCATCCATTAAATGAAAACTCAAATCCACCATCGGCAAATGAAACAAGCCCCTCATTTACAAGTGAAGTCTTCAAGCCTGAAGAGACTTTGTCAATCGGCTCATCGCCATCAATGTACCCTCCGTTGATTCTGCAACAGGAGAAGTCAGGGAGACCCCGCAAACTAGTACTTCCTGCTCCCCAAAAGGAGAATGACAGTTTTTCTGTGGTGAGTCCCATATCAGAACGTGTGGAGACTTTGACAATGCCAACAACGGAGCGAGACATATCAAAGGTTCCTAGCGAACGCTCCGGGTCCACCTGCAGTTTTAACGACAGCCAATCAGGGTTCGCCAAACCTCCAGCCGTCTTACCCAAATCCGAGCGGGCCGTTCTCAAAGCTATGAAGCTGACAAACCGGCGGATCAAAAAAGCCGAGGCTCAGAAGTCAACTCCGAGCAAACACAGGACTGACAAATCCGTGCCGAGGAGCGGTGAGAAAAAGCATCACAGGGAAGGTCAGAAACGTGGCGGAAACGGCAACGATGCGGCCGTTGCCAACAATGAAGAATTTCCTCCAAAAAAAGCAGAAATGACCCAGAAGACAAGACAATCCAGCCACGATTCAATAGAAGGCACTCGCCTTACCGATGGACTTGCAACTGAACGAGGCCGTAGTCGTGGCAAACAATCTCGAGATAAACCGGAACAAAGACACTGCAGCAGCGATCGTCTCATCAGTACCGCTCCTGTCTACAAACTCAACGCTGGACCAGGGCCCAATATTCGCTCGCAAAGCATCGACAGATACTTAGGTGACAGAGTGGGTCGCAGGTATCGCACCGACACATCTGTCAATGAGAGACTTGACCCGAGAAGTACACGCATTGAGAAATCCATCGTGGACGAGTTTCAGCAGCGGGGCCGAGCCAAAGAAAAAATGCTCAGAGAGAAACCGCTGAGGAGGAGTCAGAGCATTGACACGCACAGCCTGCAGCCCGCCCAGCCGCCGAGCTTGTCCCGCCAGCTCAGCCAAACCGGCCAATTCTCTCGCCAGTCCAGCATCGAACACACTGGCGTCACGCAGTCCATCCCCGCGACCCAACGAAAACTCCTCCAGGATCCAGACTCGGGACAGTATTATTTTGTAGACCTGCCCGTCCAAGTCCAAACAAAAACCTTCTTTGATCCTGAGACTGGAAGCTACGTGCAGCTGCCCGTCCAGCCCCCAGACGGCGCTGTTCTTCAGGCATCGCCCATGGAAGTTTTATCCCCTCCGTTGGTGGTTTACCATGGCTTTGTCCCAGTGCCTCTGACCCCCATGGCCCAGAACGCTCCCATCCAAGTACCTCACGTGGAGCAAGAACAGCGGCAATTGGACATGTCAAGGCAAGTCCATTGTAAGGACGGGCATCCTTATTTAGAGCCCGTCTATGGGGAGCATGAACACATGTTGGGCGAGTTCCTCGGTACCGAGGAAGTGGACTGTCCCAGTTGATAGGACGAGGATTTTGCACACATTTATGTTTCTTTCACCAACCTTCTTGTGGTTGTGAGTACTGGTTTTTTATGGGTTTGAAATGACAATCAACATATAATTGATGGCTTTCAATCTTCTTTGATTCACATCGGTACACAATGACTGCCATTTGACGTGTTCCATTTCAATTCATTCAAATACGTAACATACATTTTTGTTCACCCCATCCATCCATTTATTATTATTTTTTTAATAGCGTTTGCCGACATTAGGTACGCGGGCTAGCTGCAGAGTATCCCTGTCTGATTTTGGGCAAGAAGCATGCGACACACTGGGCCGACTGGTTGCCAGTCAATTGAGGGCCACGTGCAGACAAATAATTCAATCTGATGGAGAATTTAGCCTCAATTTAGACAATATGCATGTGTGGAAAGCAGCCAGAGTAGGTTGGAATCTAGATTTGAAACCCAATACTCAGAACTGTGAAGCACACGTTGCAACCACAATATTCCACCGTGCTGCCTACATGTTTGTTTTCCGTTGAACTCGCTAACCCCGGTCATTTTATTGATTTACCTTTATGCCTTATGACTTGAATGTACACTGAAAAGAGATGCATGGTCAACTGCTGCTGAATATGAGTTGATAGAAGATAGTCTTTTTTTTTTTTAAAGAAGGGCGTATTGACAATGCACCCATATGTAAAAAGACAAATGTTTGAATGTAAATGTGGAATATTTATTTTAAATGCAGTGTGTTATTAAAGGATGAATGTGGTCTGAGTTTCCATTACTTCTTATAAACGATGCCGCGCTAAATTCAGAATGAACACAAATGAATGTCAAAACGTTTTGCATGCTGATGAGGGAATGTGTTGGAGAATTATGCTCACCTTAATGTTACATTTAAGTTTTTGCCTGTGTTCATAAAGCATTGCTGAAAACAGCCACTAGGGGGCATATTTGCAGGGTATTGGGGGTTGCTATGATTCACTGCGATGTACAGAATTCATCATGACCGTTCTCATCGGCAATTCATTTCTCATTCATTCATCGTGCTGATGTAGGTCTCTAATAATAATAATCTTAAAATTTAAAATCTCCCCGTCACTTACTGTCCCATTTTTTTGTGAAGCATCAGTGGCAGCCGCAGCTCAAAGCCACCATGTCATCATACTGTTTCAAAACCACATTCTCTTCGTCATCAAAATATAGCAAACTGATGGACTGAAGTTTGTCGGGCACACAGCAGGGCGCTTCGACTTCATCCACGGACAGCTTGAGCGCGTGCATGATGGAGCGGACGGTGGCGTGGTTGGTGGCTCGGAGGTTACCTCCCAGCGGGAAGGGACAAGAGCCCTTGCAGTGGTAAGCGTTGTAACCCCGCGGCGAGATGATCCAACCTGACCAACCAATCTCCTCGAAGTCTACAAAGAGGGAGACCCTCTGACAGGATCGGGAATGGCCGCGGGGTAAGAGCCCGGGTGCTCCACGTCGCCTCCTAGTGGGGCGGTTGTGGAGTTCAGCAGCAGCAGCAGGTGAAGACTGGGCTGGTCCTGGACGAGAGAGAAGATTAGAAACAAAGTTCGGCACATTTGTGTCATCGGATGTTGGAAGTTCATTTTGAAAGATGTATCTAATTTGAGTCTTTCATCCAGTTGCAAACAGCTCTCATGCAGCACATTCTTCACTATTTTGGATGTGGGGCCTTGAGACTTTTCCATCAGTCCTGTTCGGATAGACGTGGCACTAGGTTTTGTGTGGATTGGATCAACCGTTTTTGGGGGGGCAAATTTGACATGTTACATTCCACCGTCGACTCACCAAAGTACGAGTGGTTGGATGCTCCTGCCCTCCCATCATCAGAGAATATAACCAAGTAGGCGTTGGTGTCTGCTGGCTCTCCACGAAACTTGGATGACATAACCGCAGAGTCCATCCAAGTCCCAGATGGCAGCGTGGTCACTATCAGGATGCCGTTGTTATCTTGGCTGTTGCAGATCCACTTAGCCACCTAAAAAAAAAAAAAAGTCAACTGGGTCGGCCTTTTCCCAAAATTATTTGGCAGTGCTGATGAAGGGAAAATGAAGAATACCAACTGTTTGTGTGACATTGAAGACTTCCCATCCCTGGGTGTAAAGAGGAACCAGTCTGGAGGTGATGAGGTTTCCTCGCCAAGGTTTCACTTGACTGTCCAGTACTTCATACAAATCCACCTGAGTGGTAACAAGACACAGACATTAGTTTTATCTAAAGCGTGAGGCACGCTTCATATGTGAAGCGGCATGAGCGATGAGCTCTGTTGGTAATTTGTAATTTCAAAATTCAACTGTCAAAAAAATAATCACATTTGAAAACAGGCGGCCCCTTTTGGAAGGTATCCTGCTGGCATACATAACTGTGCCTTCCCACAAATACGGTTGAGCTCCAAGAACATAGATCATTATTTTACCTTGTAAAAATGGGGCCTGTAGGACTTTTCGAAGGAATGCTTCTGTTTCTTTCGAAACCAACGGAACTCAGCTTTAATCATCCTCTCTTCTCTTCCGAAGGAAGAGAGGTTGAAAAAGTGAAACCTCTCACCATAACGACCTGAAACACAAAAAAAAACCAACTTCAGTAAAACCACATACTCTTATTTGCAGAAGCCTGATTTTTTGTTGTCAAAAGCAAAAACAACTTCTCTGCCACAAAACATTTTCCCTTTATTAACGTATATCATGAGGTTGCTTGGGTTGTGCAAAAAAAAAGTTCCCCACTGCTCATGTTGTTAACTGACCAAAAACAACAAAAATACATGAGTTAATTGTTGTGCAATGTAAAAGTAAAAACGCGTCAGCCCCGTCACTAGTGATGCGCAATTACGCATTTGAAAAACAACTGCGAACCTGAATGAGTCTTTTTCAACGATGTTATACACAACAAAAATCAATCAAGCCCGTTCTTCAAAGTGCCACCAACCTTTATCCTCGAAGCTCCTCACCACATTTCCTTCCAGAATCTCCTTCTGACTTTTTCTCGTCCCGTCCGACACGGACACGGCGTGAAACAAGTCCAACATGAACTGAGGCGCCTTCTTGTGGGGGGCCTGCCCCGCCGCGCCCCGGAGCAACTCCTTCCAATTGAACAAAACGTCGAGCTTTTCCGACAGCATCCTGTCGAGGTCCGAGTCCGCCCGGGTCCCCGTCGGCCCGGCCAGCAGCACCGTGACGCAGCGCAGCTGGAGGGCGAGGACGAGCCAGAAGCGCACAGCTCCTCTTGACATATTGGCAAGGGGCGGACTGAGCTGGACACCTGCCGGACTGCGCGTGATAAGGACACACTCGTGCCATTTGATGACACTATTCAGCTAACATCAGCGGATGATTGGACCTTGATTGATGATGATGGAAGGCGGGGGCGAAAATAACCTCGCAGACACAAAGGAAAGGTGAAAATGACCCAAAAGTGAGTCGTAGAGATAATACCCCCCGCGGTCCCCCATAAAAAAAAAACCTAATAACTAATATATAACAGCCGATTGTGGTAAATCTTCATCATTACTGACATTAAAATACGGTAGTAGCCCAAGTGTTCCTTGGACAGTGGTTTTATTCCACAGCAACCCAATATCGTACATATGGATAAGGGTGAGGGGGGGATAAAACTGCGCCTGCAAATTCAATTTTGAACAATACCAAAATAACAGTAATAACAGTTCTGGGAGAACAATAAATGTAGGAAAAAAATTAAATACTACTGAACTCCATTCTTCCATCTGCCACTAGAGAGAGCACACGAGCAGCTGGTCGAACCGTGGCAGAAGGTCACCTCGCATTGCGTTTTAGAAATACATTATAGATGTAAATTTCATGATTACTGAATTAAGTAAAAAATGGAAATGAATCCATAGCTGACACACACAAATAAGTAAACAATAAATATTTCAGGAGAGAATAACAAACACATGCATATATAATATCAGAATCAGAATCAGAATCATCTTTATTGGCCAAGTATGTAGAACACACAAGGAATTTGTCTCCGGTATAACACGTTGCATTAGTATCATCATAAACAAGGACATGACAAATAAGTATGGAAGGACATTTCGAAATGTAAGTAAACCGTAGTGCGGTGGTACCACCCAGTGACAACTATGAGACAATGTGCAAAGTATCAAGCAGAGCTAAAGTGATCAGTGGTAGAATACAATACTATGACTGTTGTCCAGTTGGTGCAGAAAATCATTGAACCATTTTAAAGTGACCAGTAGCAGTATTTGTTGTACAAGAAGAGTGCAATTGTGCAGATGTCCTTGAGCGCTTTAAAGTGTCTGGTGCGGTGGAGTATACGTCAGTGACTGTTTAGGGAGTTAATGGCTAGACGGAAGAAGCTGTTTAAGTGTCTGCTGGATTTGATGCGCATGGATCTGTAGCGCCTGCCTGAGGGGAGTAGCTGGAAAAGGTGGTGGGCAAGGTGCGGTGGATCCAATAGGATTTTCCGTGCCCTTGTTTTGATTCTTGCAGTGTGTAAGTCCTCAAGAGTGGGTAGGGCGGTACCAATGATTTTTTCCGCTGTCCTAAGTGTCCGTTGAAGTCGGATTTTGTCCTTTTTTGTGGCAGCCCCAAATCCTGGGAGACTGTGATTCCCAGGAACTTGAAGGTCTCGACGGTTGACACAGGGCAGTTGGATAGTGTGAGGGGCAACTGTGGTGAAGGATGTTTCCTGAAGTATATGTACATTTGTAAAAGGCAGTGTGAAAAATTCATTTCAATCAAGAATTATGACATGCACTAAGCAAACGCGAAAAAAAATCATGAGAAAATAAACACGTGTAAAATGTATGCAGATTTCTATTGATGATCATATAAGCTACATTTTTGCTACAGCACCTCAATGAAGCGCATTTTCCACTGGGGTGAGGAGGGTTCAACCAAACTAAAGTTTCCCCATCATCGTGGTTTTTTTTTTTTTTTTTTTTTTTTTTTTTTAATGGCCATCTGTCTGTTATCAGTGTGAAGCCAGTTGCAAGAAAGCAAACGAAGAGCGAAAGCCATGACGCACATGATGCGCATTGTTAGCATGCACATGTGCCCCCCCCCGACCAATCGTGCACACATTGGTCACCTTGTCCTCGGCGACGCCCTCGCCCACCCCTTCGCTTCTCCTGGCTCTGTTTGGACAGTGACTGAGCATGACGCTCATGACCCCCCCCCCCCC